GTGTTGATGATGTGGTGGAAAGGGTGAAGGACTCACCATGTTCTTTTTGGTACTCAGTGGACAAACTGAGCCATCTGCTGGCAGGATGCAGCATCAGCAAAGCATCGGTCGCCAACTGCAACCAAGAGATGAGCAGTGAGGGGCCGCCGTCGTCAATCATTGGAGTATAAGATTAAAAATACTTCATCATCATCATCATCATCCTCTTGTTGTGTTTGCATCAGACGGCGAACCCGCGACACTCAACGTGTCTCCCGAGCGCAACTCTTCCAAGGTACGTGGAGCCACTGTCAAGCAGGCATCAGATAAATGAATGAATCAAGGCGATTTTAAGGTCGGAAGTCATATTTTCATGCTTTGATCTCATTTTCTGGCATATTTGTAAATCTTACTGTACATAGTGAATATTGCCCTGAAGTTTGATTTCGGGAGGAAAACTATGGAGAGTTGAATCAAAATCGCATTTTCTGCCAGAAAAATTTACAATTCACTCGTTTCCTGAAACGGTTCAGCACTAGTTTGGAGCCTTTGAAACATTGGCTCAGGAAAATGTCTTAGTCACTATCTCGTTCGTCCTGCAGGACACGAATGGAAACCAGGTTCAGGAGGCCACGTTGAAGGAGGTGACCCTGCCGTCGCCCGTGTGTATTGAGCATTTGCCGGCAACCTCGCTAACTGAATTAGTCCCTCCGCAGGAAGTGTGTAAGCGCCTGATCAGCATGAGTGCGCAGCTTCACGCTCTTCAGGTCAGTGGTCGTCGTCATCGTCATTGATTGGCCCGAACTTCCTTTCTGTTGACTCGTTGACTCCGCCCCCCCTCAGGACGCCGTCATTCGCCAGGACTCGGTGGTGGAGCTGTTTGCAAAAAGCGGCCCCACCCCCGGTCCCGCCTCCGGACCCCGCCTCAGCCGCTCGATGTCGCGGGACACGGGTTTGGACGGCGGCAACGGCGAGGTGGCGCTGCTGAAACGGCAAGTGGAGCTCCTGCAGGACGAAGTGAAGCGGCTGCGGGCTCGAGAGGAGGAGCCTGGCAAACAGGAGGTGCAGCTTGCCGGCAGGAGGAGGAGCAACGGAGACCTGAGCGACGTCATAAAGGGAGACTCGGTATGGAACTGGTGCTGGTCTTTGAGTGACGCCACTCAGCTGGCCGGATTTCATGAAGGAGTGCCATTTGAATTGCAATGAGGCAGATGTAACGGCAATTCAAACATGAACTTTTGCAACAAAAATATACCGAGCCACATCCAGCCGTTCCAAAACAGTATACCTGTATACAGTATATATGGCTTGAGACTCATAACTATTTCGGATTAGATATGCATCTGTGGCCAAAGCTTGTAGTCTGTGACAGTCACTGAAATCCACGAGTGCAGCCATGGCCAAAGTCTCAGCTTGTAACTCTCGTCTGTTTCCTCATTTCTTTGGCATGATGACATGGCTGCAGCGGCTGGGGCAATCCGGTTCTGCCTTGACAAAATATTGCTTCCCGATAAGAACATGCGGGCTGCCGTTTCCTCTCTTCCAGTTAGTTGGTATGTGAGACAGGGTCGATGGCCAGGTGTGCAGGTGTGAGTCACCGACTGAAATCTGTTGCCGTTTGTCCAGTTCAGTGGCTCTCAGTCATGTTACTGACGTTAGGGTTAGCGTAAGAGGCCCGGGCATAATGTGATGTATCAGGGTGGAACTGCCACTTACTTGTCTCTCAGGTCAAAAATCAGGGCTCAGACAATACATCTGAGCGCTAAGTTGTATGGTGTCTTTTGTCCTTCTTGGCCCAGGTGAGACAATTGTAAACAGATTGTCATACAAGGCCGACCTGGCTGCAGACAGCAGAGCAAAATCAAATCAAATACACATCCATAGACAGCAAACGGTGTCATACATAATACTTGACATGACACCCAAAGGCGCTGTGGTCATGTACACTATTGTGGTCATGTACACTATGCCGCACTAACGGCCCGGGCACCCGCAGCGGCTCCTCTTGTTGTCTGTTTAAGAGGGAGGAAATTTCATCTTGTGCTGTACAGCACATTTGACAATAAAGTTGTACTTGATACTTGATAATGTGTGAAACAATATTGGGATGAAGGAAGTGAGGTGTATTATTTGGGGGGGGGGTGGAAAATCAAGCGAATTAGTGTGGACTTTGAAAACAAAGAGGTGAAAAACAATGCTGGAATGGAGAGTGAAAGTGGTGGTATGCATGGTGAGCAGTGAGCCAAGACGGTAGCAAATGACAAATTGAACAGCAGAACCGTTAAGACACGTAATATAGCTGGGGTGCTTTCATTGTGGGATTTATTCTTGTGCTATGAATACTAACCCTACTCTGTTGAATTGTGAATTTTGCATATTTTGAAAAGATCATAATTTTTCTCCTGCGTTGGAAGAAGTCACCCTGAGGAGGGATATGCAACTGTTGCATGGCTCATACAAATCAGGAGATATCCTCCAGGAAAAAATATATACAGTATATTGTGCCCGAGTAAACTTGGTGGTGCGCCATGTCCATTTGATTCTGATACAAAAGTTTGCGCCCGTGTTCCTAATGAAGTGGCCTTTAGACGTATCCCTTCAGGTTTCCTGCACCCTTGCTGACATAACTTCTTTCTGCTTTGCACTTTGACCAGTCGAGGAAGAGGCGGGGAAGTAGAGAGCTGGAACTCCACCCCCTTGCTCCATTGGCCACTCACGACCCGCTCGACCAATTAGACGGCGTTCAGGAAGCCAACGAGGAGGAGGAAGACCAACAAGTTGTGAAGATTTCTCCTCGCTCTGACAGCCCAAGAGGTCAGTAGCCAGTACAAAGTGCAAAGGGCGCATACAGTATCGAGGAAACACAGTGGCCCAGTGCTTAGAATGCATGCCTTGCCGTCAAGGGGTCTCTGGTTGTAGAAGATCAAGATGCTCAATTTTTATCAGATTTTCATCATGTACACGTGTACCGTGGATTTCTAATCCCGGCTGTACTCTGCATCTCACCCAAAGTCAGCTGGGATTTACTCCACTTGTCTTTGGTCAGTAAGTGGGGTACGCCCTAAACGGGTTGCCAGCCAATCACAATCACACATAGGGACAATTTGGGGCAGGGATCCCCAACCACGGGTCCGTGGACCAGTACCGGCCGGCCATCCAAATGAATGAAGCTATTTTGACAACAGAAGTTCTTCCCCTTGCCGTACCTCTAGAGCGATGTGGAGGAAGAAGCTGTTGTGTCAAAAACAAGGCAATACAAGACGCCCGTTGACTCATTTGAACAAGTAGCAAGTGATCAAGTGGAAAGCATGAAAATGCAAACAGTTTCCACAGCCTGCCCAGATAAACATGAGCAGTTTAGTTGCTAATAACTAGCCGGCAGCCACCGGATATAAGCAACAATCAACCGTGTCATCTTTTTATCAGTCACATTTGAACGTAGCAATGATGCTAACGCCATATGTAGGATCAGAACTTTAAAATGATTGTTTACATTATAAGGTGTGCTTATGATTCCTAATTGATCCATTTCTTAGTAGTTCACTGTTATTCTATTTTACATTAGTTCTACAGTAGAATAACACTGTTTGAAAAAATGTGAAAGATTTGAAAAAAAACTGTTTTAATAAAATGTTTAATTACTCTATAATCATCTTTGTTGTCAGTACTAATGCTTTAAAACTGGCGATTTAAAAGCAATGAAAAAAAATCGTTGCCTGTCTCAACTGGTCCGTGACACAAAAAAGGTTGGAGTCCGCTGAGTTAGAGTTCCATCAATCCCAATTCATGTTTTTGGAATGTGGGAGGAAACCGGAGTACCCGGAGAAAACCTACATAGTCACAGAGAGAATATGCAAATTCCGCAGAGGAAGGTTGGATTCAAACCCTGGATTTCTGCACTGTGAGGCGGGCATGCTAACCGATTATCTCCGGCGTGCTAACCAGTCATCCACTACTATTTATCCTGCTCATCTAAAAATAAATGCACAGATACGCTCCAACATTTTTTATTTTATCATTTAATATTGGCTGCCCTGCAATTGGCTGGCAACCGGTTCGGGGTGTCCCCGCAGCTGGGATAGGATCCAGCACCACCCGCGTCCCTTGTGAGGATAAAGTAGATCGGAAAATACAGTAGATGGATGGATGAATATTTACTTTCATTTTTTTCATATCATCTGGCTAAGTGATTGTTTGCTAGATGTTGTTGATTATGGCTAACAATGACCTCTGACCTTTCAGACCTGCAGGACATCCCAGAGGAGAGCGAGTGTGGAGCTGAACCCAGTTAATGTTTCACCATGAGGTCACCGTGAATAGGAGAGAGTCAGCGCGTAAAGACGCATTTCCTGCTCCATAAAGACTTTTCCCAATAATGCTGTCTAACTTGAAACAAGAATCATAGGAGCGGGTGGGGCTAGCGATGTGTGCAAAGGTCACTAAAAGACTTGACTACACTACCCACAATGCCTTTGGCCATCATCATCATGACTATTTATTTATTTTTCTTCAAGTTTTTTGAAAAGACTGAAACTTTCCATCCATCTTACAGTGACTGATGAAAACAAAGAGGGAAGCTGTTAGCATGGTAGCTAGTAGGTGTCTTCAAAATGAAGGTCAGACATTTGTGACATTTTGAGACACTTCATTTCCTGTGTGTCAAGGGACCTCTTGGCTGCTCTTTCTTCTTTCATGTCAAACTTGTTTTTGTTCTCAGGAGAACTTTTTGTTGTTGTTGTTGTTGTTTTTTTTTCTACAAACGTTTAAAGAACATACATTATTTGTGCTCTTTCGAAATCAACTAAGCTAGCCAATACTGTTGCATGCCCCCTTATTCATGAATACATTAGGCAGTGTTTATGAAACACAAACTACGACAATAAAGGAATATACTAGGCCGTTATATGATTTTAAAATTATTTTATGAACGAAAAAGTTGGCGAGCGCTGTCCTGAACGTCACTTCCTGCTAGCAATAACGCGGAAAAAGGCGGAGTTCAAGTTGGGAGTTGGTTGAATACGGAAGCCGAGCCGAGCCGAACCAAAAGCAACACCACGACCAGAATCTACGCCAAAACTGAGAGACGATCGAACTGCAGACGTTCTCGCTGGAGACTGAGAGGAAGGGGCGACAAGTAGCTGTCGTTCTTCGTCATTCATAATCCCCCTGGTAGCTGCTATCGGCTAGTTAGCCTGCTACTTGCTAACGTTTGAGGACTCGTCCAGGTAACAAATGTCGTGTCTCACACTCACACATACTCTTACACACTTGTTGGATGCTAACTGGCTAACAGGCTAATGCGGCCGTGAGGGCGGTGGTCCCTCTTTTAGTTTCAGGAGCGAGCTAACATGATGCCACAGATCTAACCTTAATATTGGCAGCCACCGTTTGTTGCAAAGTTTGCCTCTTTCTACCACAAATGAAAGATTATTGGGCACAGTGAACGCGCCATGACACGTTCGTGTTGTGACGTCAGAAGACTGAGCGTGAGCGACACGCCTGGACCCGCCCGAACCTGCTCCGCGGCACCTTGGTTTCAGCGCGAATATTTGTGATTCTCCTTCAATAAGCCGCCTCTTTGATTCATGCGTCTTATTGTGAAATTGATAAACTTCTTGTGTTCCTTTTTCGCTGTCATTCACCGAGATGCTCCTCCCCCTCCAACACCTGTTTGACCCTCAAAGAAACTTTCTACTACTTCCTAGAACAAAAAGAAAATGAGTGGAGTGAGCAGCATTGAGGCCGTTAAGAAGAAGATCAAAGTTCTTCAAGCACAAGCGGAAGAAGCTGAAGAACGAGCAGAGGTGCTGCAAAGACAACTGGAAGAGGAGAAGAGGGCTCGCGATGAGGTTAACCACGCACTCATGGAACCGTGTGACCTTGACTGTTGCATTGAGCTAAATTGGCCGTCATATGTTCCGCAGGCAGAGGCGGAAGTGGCATCGCTCACTCGCCGTCTTCAAATGACAGAGGACAACCTGGACCAGACACACGAACAGCTCACTTCCGCCATTGGAAAGCTGGACAAGTTGGAGAAGGTGGCTGATGAGAGTGAGAGGTAAGCCTGCATGTAAGTGATGATGCTGATGATAATGATGATGATGACAACAACGATGATGTTTCCAGAGGGATTCGTGTGATTGAGACACGAGCCATGAAGGATGAGGAAAAGATGGAACTTCTGACCGTTGAACTGAAGCAAGCTCAAATCATCGCCGAGGAGGCTGACCGCAAATATGAGGAAGTATGTACTCAACGCACACACGCACTAGGGTTGCACACTTATGGCCAACATCATAATCACGATAAATTTGACCAACACAATAATCACAAGTTTTAAATAAAAATGAATAAGGTACTCGTATCTAATCATTATTATTTTTTAAATAATAACAATCAAAAGAATCACATTTACCCAATAATGAAAGCTTTTTTTCCAATGGCTGACTGAATAAATGTGCTCTTACCTTGTTGAACTGGACAGAACGCGAAACAAGTCCAGACAACAGCTGTTTACCCTTTTCAAGGCATTCAGTCCAGTTTTTGCTGCACTTCTCTTCTCCGGCCATGACTTAGTTGGGTGTGCTTGCTGGCACTTAAAGAAGCCTTCAGCGTGTGCCGTTCGGCCACTGGTGGTTGGCTGACTACCGCTTGACGAAAAATTTAACAGAACTCGCGTTCGATTTTTTTTTTTTTTTTTAAATTGCCAATGATCAGGTTCTTTTAATCGTGGCAGGCTAAATATTTCGCAATAGTTTCCTTGCACGACACGTGACAGTCACCGTACATTGATGGCATTCAGTTAGACCTGTGTGATATAATAATGTGTATTGCAGATATATATATATATATATATCTATGCTACAACTCAATCCTCTATTCTTTCCAATTCTTTGATTTCCCTTGCCGCTATGGAGAGAATCCTGTCATTTCCTTCCCTGCACTTCGTAACATTTGGGCTAGCTCAATGTTAGGCCTACTTGAATGTTAGCTGAAGCACACTGTGTGTATGTGGGCTCAAAACTGCAACCGAATATGTCGCTCATGCGATGTCACAGTAATCTGTGCGTGCTAGCTTCCAGACAGTGCTGTCCCAAAGTCAGAAATGGTCTCAGACATCAACCGGCGTTAGCAGCAGACTCTGCTGCTAACGCCGGTTAGCTGCTTGTAGCTGTAGTGCTTCGTGTTAACACAAGACTTAAACAGCACACACAATTGTCAGCCACGGTGCCTCTGTCACACAGGTATTGTATTATCCAAATAAATGACAAAAAAAAAACTGTAGATTATAGAACAAGTAAGAAAGGGAAACCTTGGTATTTGTGGCTCGAACGTTCAAGGCATTGTCAGGAGTATTCAAATTCACATTCCCGTCTGAGGGAGTGACATCGGCACATTGATGACTCACGTGTTCATGAGAGCGGCAATGGAGGGAGGAGTCGAGAGAGATTGGCAGCCGTCCTGCATACAAGTGCATTTTACAATCCGAATGGCAAAACAGAAATCGTTTTCCATCAAATCGTGTGCGGCACAATTCTGAGCAGCCCTAATGCGACTACTTTGTACAACAGAGCAGCACCTCCGCCGGCTCTTCTCGAATGTTTCACAAGGTGGCAGAATACATTACAATCACTCCAAATTATCCAGCGACCTGACACCTTTCCTCTGCAGTCCCCTCCAATGCTTTTCAACGGCGTTGAGGTCTGGGGACTGAGATGGCCTTGGGTGGAGCTTGCTTCTGTGTCTGTTGAACCATTTCCACAACTGTCAGTTGTGGAGTGTTTGCTTCAGCAATAACAATTACGGTTTTTCAAAATGCCAGGAGTGACACTAATTGCGGCGGCCGCTGTACTGAGCCTTTCAGATCTTCTCATGCATGCGCTGCGCTAAGCAGGTAGCCATCGTTTGTGGTCAGAGGCACTTCTATGAGTACAGACTGACGACCAGTGATTAATCCACCTCTGCCCCCTACTTATCATTTGGGATGGATGGAAATGCGGCCGTCTCCATGTAAGACTGTGAGATTGTCTGTGCCCACACCATTAGAGTGAAAGACAGTCCCATATCCTGATTGGCCACATTGCGGTTAAACACACCCGTATTAAATTAGCGTGTAAGTGGGTGTGTGTTTTTTCCATACATAATATAATAATGATAATGCTCTAAAAACCAGTAATAGTAGTAATACCGGTATTTAGAATTTGATGCATGAAACGTTTTTTGCAAATCAAAATGATAAATACCAGTGAGGTGTTTGCATTCTATCAGTTCACCACTAGATGGTACTAAATTCTACACACTACCTTTAAAGGCAAACAAACTTGTTTCAAATCCAAATGTTTGTTGAAAGATTTTTTGACAAAGGTTGCGTTGCACGGCGAGGCTAGTTTGCTGATCACATGAGTTGAACATATTTATGATTGACAGGTGGCCCGCAAACTGGTGATGGGGGAGCAGGAATTGGAACGTGCCGAAGCCCGAGCTGAGCTCGCTGAGAGGTAACACACACACACACACACACACACACACACACACACACACACACACACACATACCACCGAGGAGTTTGGGCCAGTGAGTGACGAGATGTCAGGTCATGAGGGTCACCTGAGCCCCCGCCTGCTGGCAGTCAGCAGCCCTGTCCAACTTTGACCTCGGGCTGCTTCTTCTCATTTTGACCTGCGCTTTTTCCCCACCCTGTTTGTGACCATATGACCTCGGCCCCACAGCAAAAGTCGTACGTTGGAGGAGGAGCTGAAGAGTCTGTCGGCCAGTTCCAAGAGTTTTGAGTGTCAGGCTGAGAAGGTGAGAGGTGGGAAGTGGGTCCTGATCGTGTGCTGGCTCAGCGTGTCATGTCATGCCGTTGTGTCTTGTAGTTCTCCGTGCAGGAGGAGCGCTCCGAGCTGGAGATCAGCAGCCTCAGGAGTAAACTGATGGAGGTAAGATGCGCTCCTTAGCTCACCCGGCCCCCTCAGCGTCGGTCATGTAGTGAAACGAGGGGACCCAATGACGTGATAAGATACGTAAATCAATTCCAAGAAAAGGAGTCCGGAACGCCGTGAGGGTCGCTCGAGTCGCTTCTTGTTCATGGCACATCTCCTTCCTCTGCAGGCGGAAAATAGAGCGGATTCTGCCGAGCGCACAGTGGCCAAGCTGGAGAGAACCGTGGACGAGATGGAAGGTGCGGTGCGCCCCAATCGACCGACCGATTGGCATGTCATGACGTGATCCTGACCCGTTTTTGCATGTTTGCAGAATCGCTGGCGGCAGCCAAGTCGGCCAACCAGGAACTCCATGCCACGCTCAACCAGACCATGGAGGAGCTCAATGCCTGCTGAACATTCCTCATCCTTTCACCTTCATTAGTGGGATCAATAATCAATGTGCGCTTGATTTATTATTTTTTTTTGCTCACTTTGTGGGCATGTATGTGCTTGGAAGGGAACAGCCAATCAGATTTTTCTGCCAAACCTATGGGGCCAATTTGATGTCAGACACACCTCCGTGTTCTGCGGCAGCCATCACTCATTTTCAACCGTGATGATGCTGCGTGCCATCACTATGGCATAAATTCAAGGGGCCAATCGGAGTACAGAGATGTGCCTACCTGATCAATTAAGTGTCACGTGGTCTTACGCTGTGATGATGTCATCATGACAGCTTTTTTTCTAAAATAAAAGCACCAAGTTCATTTGTTTAATGTCTTTATTGGTGGGGGGGGGCACCTCCCCTTAAAGTCTTCCTCGATAATCAAGTGGAACAGACAATTGGTCACATTGCAGTTGGTACATAGAAATGTAAATTAGAGGTTTCCATGTCCTGTTAGCATTAGCAAAGTTAATGGACACCATGATGATGATCATAATAAATTTTATTTGTAGGCGAAAGCCCTGCAGTAGCCTTGGTGAGTTTTTGGCCTGTTGTAAGTGGATTCAAAAGTCTTCAAAGTCATTATATTGTAACCATGAATCTATAAACAAGGTCTGAATTTGCATTAAAATGTCTTTAATCGGCCCCGGCGAGGGGCCATCCCTGTCCTCAATACTGTATTTAAGAAGTCTTAAAAATCTTAAAATAATTACAATTTTATGATTGCAGTTAAGTCTCAAAATAGCATTAAGTAAAAAAAAAAAAAAAATTATGAAAAAACATTGCACAATCACTATAGCAGAACCTACAAATTTGTTAGGAGGCCTAAGTCAGGACTCTTAAGAACAGACGGACATCATGTATATACTGTTGAACAATATTGGGATCCTGCTCTTAAATTTCATTTCAAATGGAATTAAAAAAAAAAAGCCTTGAATTTCACTTATCTTAAACTGTAGGAACCCTGGCAAATATCACACTAAATCTAGCATTACTTTAATGAGATGAATAACGAATTGATTTGATTTCAAAGCTGGTATTGTTTCTCTCACCTTGTCCAAAACAGCGTGTGTTTAAACAATTGTAATCTCAGGTTGACAAAAAAGAGTTCTGTGGAAAAGATTCCTTCCATGTGGTCCAATTTGGAACCGGTTAATTGCGTCACTTGGTGACATTATGCCAAGCCGGGTAGCGATATGGCGCCCGTCCCGGCTTTCTTGAATGCGGTTTGGGTTAGCTTCGGACGATCATCGACCGGCAGCTTCCGCAGCCAGCGCTAAGATTGGCCGCAACTGGTCGTCTAATGAGGGGGCGTCGGCCTCGTTCATGATGATCCAATGGAAGTCCACACCAGTGTCCAACCCGCACTCGGACTCTGCGTCATCCACGCCTGACGCAGACACGCACACAAAAAAAAAAAAAATCAGATGGAAATGTGAGCAGGGGCTAAACGGGCGTATGGCTGGACGTACCCGGGGTGTAGATCCACCCTCTCCGCTTGCGCGTTTCTTCTCGACTTTGCACGCGCACGCAGCGAGTCTGTTGAGGAAAGTTGGCCCAAAACCACCTCAGGTCCGACATCCGCCGCGCGTCACTCACCACCTGAGTAATCACAGAGCAGAGCGGCGCTTGCGGGTTGCTCATCGCTACACTGAAGTGGGGTGACGTACCCAAACGGGTTGATGAGCTCCTCTGGTCGCCAGGCGGCAGAAGAATCCGGGATCTCGCAGTCTGCGAGCTTCGCCCCAGCTGATCATGTCTGCCCGGTAGAGCTCCTTGTAAGGGCCGGAACTCGCCAGCTGCTCCGCGTCCAGGCCGTGTTCCTGCACAGTTTTACAACATGACGACGACACCAGCTTTGGACAGGCCTTTTTTCCGTTAAGGACCAGATTTTGGGGGACGCAGCGCGCGTGTCGACCCAACTTGGAGGCCGATTTCCTCTTTGGCTTGTACCACTGTGTATTCGTATTTTTTTGTCTTTCGACTCGGCATTGATGTAGTCTTTTATTGTAGTTACTGTCTTTTTTTAATTTATTTATTGTATGTCAGACTTTAACTTGTGCGGCTTTGGTTGTTTTTAAAGCGTAGTTTTCCAATGGGAATTTGAAAAGTGGGCGTGATTTATTATTCTTTAATGTTGTTTTTAATCGAAATGCAGTTTGGGATTTTGGGGTGGTTCTGATGCGCTTGCATTTACGTTTTTCATCTAAAAGTGTTGAATGTCCCCTGGCATTTCATTAAAAGAAATGCATGGGGTCACTGTGCGTGGCGTGAGACTGACGTCACTCACCCCATGATTGACCCGGCCCTATGCGTGACGTCACTTACCTGAGCATAGGCTTGTTTGAGGGGTGCAGAAAGACGAACGACGCCGCAGACGTCTTCTCCTAAACTGCAACACAACACACATGATCGAAGTGCATGTCGATAGGTGATCGACAGAGCAAGCGCAGTGTATTTTACCGATCGACGATGACATCTGTGACATAATCTTTTCCCGACTTCCGTTTGCCGCTGAAAATCAAAATGAGTTTCGGTTCCAAGTGGGAACTTTCCAGAGCAGCAGAGGAATCCATCACAAGAGATAATCGTTCGCTGGTCTATCAAATTTTAGCTCCAGTCCGACTCCCTGAAACATACCGGAAGTGACGGAACCGACCGAAAGCACTTCAAAAAATTAGTCTTGTCGTACCGTGGCGGCCACATCTCGTTCGTTTTCTTAACGCAACGAAGAGGCGACAAATGGACGAATTGTGGCTTTCTTTGCCGTTTACTTTATTTCCTCCTCTACCCAATTATGTTATTATTCTTTCTTCATCTTTTATCTACGCTTTGCTTTGAAAAGGTCGCGATTACGTCCGGGGCGGAGTTGAGCAGCTTTCGGCAACATGGCCGCGTTGGTTCTTCGGTGGAAAACTTTTAAAACATTTGCAGCGGTGAGTGGAACTGCGTGCAAACATTGTGTGATATTTATCATCATTTGTGATTACTAACAAACTTGGCGACTTTCAACGTCAGTGAAACTATTCACCTCTCACCAACTTTGCATTTCATTTGATTGTTTTTGAGGACGGACTGACCTCGTTTTGTGTATGGGCTGGACTGACAATGCCACTTACTTGCCATCGGGAGAAGTGAAGCCACCGGCGGCCATTTTACGATGCCAAACATGAAGTCTGTCTGACCTGAATAGATTTGATTTATCTGCTGTATCTTCGCGTTGTTTTCTGTCTCTACGGTAAAATTGACACCATCTCTGGCATGCGGTTATACCAGTAAGTTTAGTAGAACTTGGGTAAGAATGCGATTTTAAAATTTCACTTGACTTATATCTACAGTATATCTAAGTGCTACTTAAATACTCGTCTGCATCATGTTACCATAGTCATTCACAATTAAAAGACCATCAAGACAAACTTCGCTGCAAAATGTTTACCGACTGATTGGGTCCTAATCTCTGACAGTCACAATTCAAGATACTGAGATAATATACGATCAATGGTCAATGCAAACAGTGAGGTTCATTCTGTCATTACGCCATACAGAGAACCTATCGTAAAACACGCACCGATTTGTGTTTTCAACGGGAAAAGAATTGTCAGTAACATTGATAACGTAAGATGGCTGCCCTCTGGCTTCAGACATAAGGGGACGATTGATAGTCCATTCATTTATAAATTCAGAATTTAGGGTTAGTGACCTCGAATGTGAGCTAATCATGTGGACTTGTTGACTGGCGGTGAAATGCGGGGTGCACCTAGATTTTGTTATTTCATTCATGTTCATATTCCACAAACGCAGTATTAATCAGAATGCTGTGGTTCTATTAGTGGGTCAACAAAAATATTATTGTCAAGACAATTTTTCAGTTGACATCCCCTTTTTACTTAATAAACACTTTTGAACTGGAATCCTTTAAGTGTTCACAATGACACCTTGACAAAATTCCATTAAACAAATGTGGCATGAACAGAATTTAGTACATTGTGAATCTTATTACAACTTTTGAAAAAAAATCTCTATAATCCGGGAAGTCCTAAATTGACCCAGGACCTCACGAGCGCAGTGCAGGTGTGCTAATCGTTCATCCACCATGCTGGCGTTAATCCATTTCAATCTATCAATCCTCATCCTTTATTGCCAGTGGATGCAAAAGGGTTCAATGTCCAAGTGTCCGTCCACCAAAATGCACTTCACGTCTGTTTCGTCAAGCGTTTGTGCACGTTTAACGTGGCTGTGTTGCGCCTTGTCAGTCATGTTTCCACAGCTCGTCGACCGTCGCTCAGCAGCCACCTCTTCCTCACTCGCGCTTCTTCCCGCCGCTGGAAGCGGCCATGTTGCCGGACGGAACCTTTCGGGGCCGGGTGGCCTTCATCACGGGAGGTGGGACTGGTCTGGGACGCGCCATGACTGCCACTCTATCCCACCTGGGTGCGGAGTGCGTCATCGCTAGCAGGTCAGGCTTCCGCCAGAATCCGTGCATTCAGTTTAAGTAAGAATTGGCTTGAGTACTGGCGTGTTCAAAGTGTGGCTCGGGGGCCAAATGCAGCCTCTGGTATAAAATTAATGTGTGACCCGACAGCGCTGACGATCACAGTAGAAAAATGCACATGTACAAAAAAGCTATTTTACATTTCACCAGAAGATGGCAGCACTCTCCAGCTCACTTTGCCTCGACTGAACCCCTTGCTGCATGACCCCGGTGTGGCCCTTTCCCATTTCTAAAGTTGAGACTGCATTGAAAAAAAAGAAAGTTGACAGAGAGGGCCCCCGCTTCCAGGACAACTGAAAAGTATTTTTGTATATTTTTTTGCTGCAATACAAAACTGTCTGTGGAGTTTGCGAAAAGACCGTGGCTGTTTCCAATTAATTCAATATCAAGAGCCACTACGAACGAAAACAGGCCAACTACAACAAGGTGACCGGTAATGAACGGCATGTAAACAAAAAAAGCAACCGGAAGCTCATTGGTCTCCCCGCCACACATTTTCACTTCACCAAATCTGGCCATCTTTACAAAAAGTTGGACACTCCTTGCTCAAGTGAGTGCAGCTCGGCGATGGGGTGGAGGTTTGCCGTTGAGCTCAGATCCAACTTCTATCTACCAAGTCTTGGTCCACGGAAAAATCTGACAATATGAGTGGTCTGAGACTAACACTAAGGGTTTATGAGACAGGAAGTTGGAGGTCCTGCAGCAGGCGGCGGATGAGATCAGTGGTCAGACTGGAAACAAGGTGAGAGGTCAAAGAAAAGGCAGAACATGTTGTTGGCTTTTGTATCAGCTCAACTGACTTGCTGGTCCGGTCTTATCTTGATGTCTCAGGTCCACGCGGTCCAGCTTGACGTCAGAGATCCTCAGGCTGTCACGCGTTGCGTGGAACACATCGAAAGTCTGACAGGCTTGCCTGATGTAAGAATCCCCCCGCCCCCTATCACCACACACACACAACATCATAATCATCATGGCAAATAGGAAGTTGTCCTGTCAGATGACATCACAGTTGGGTCTGTGTGCGCAGGTGATCATCAACAACGCGGCGGGAAACTTTGTGTGTCCGTCGGAAAATCTGTCGGCCAATGCCTGGAAGAGCATCACCGACATCGTCCTGAACGGCACGGCTTTCGTCACGCTGGAGCTGGGAAAGAGACTAGTCCGCAGCCAGAAAGGTCAGAGCGCGTTCGAGTGATCGGGTCAGCCAAGGAGGCGGGTCACTCACTCGCAGAGCCCTTCGTCCGTCAGGTGCCGCGTTCCTGGCTATCACCACCATCTACGCCGAGTCTGGTTCCGGCTTCGTGGTTCCCAGCGCTGCCGCCAAGGCCGGGGTTGAGGCGCTCTACAAGTGGGTCGCGCTCGCGTGCACACGCGCAACGACAACTGAGTGGTCGCCATGGTGACTGGTGCCCTGTCAATGTGGTTGTCTTGGTGACGGGTGCCTCATCAGGTCTTTGGCAGGAGAGTGGGGACACTACGGTCTCCGGTTCAACATCATCCAGCCTGGACCCATCAGAACCAAAGTAGTATATGTTGTCTTCATGTATTTTTTTTGTTTTTTTTTAATTGCGCCGGTCCGTAATAAGGCTAATCATCTGAATAATGCATCAAGGGTGCCTTCAGCCGCTTGGACCCGACGGGACAATTTGAAGCTGGAATGCTGAGTCGTATTCCGACAGGTCGACTGGGCCAAGCGTCCGAGATGGCGAACTTGGCGTCATACCTGTGCAGCGACTACGCCAGCTGGATGTCGGGAGCAGTGAGTGACGCCATCGGAGTCAGAATTGATGGGTGGGGGGATGCGGAGGTGAACACCATTTGTTTGTGTTCAAGGTGATTCGCTTCGATGGCGGCGAGTACGTGATGATGGCGGGAGAATTCAACGAACTGCACAAGGTTGGAGCTTTTCCACTTTTTCCTCAACTTCGCCTTCCTTGTTTTTAGCTTTGGTACTTCCTCTGCCCCGCTCAGGTCACAGCCGATCAATGGAAGGTGATGGAAAAGATGATCAGGAGCACCAAAGGATCCTAAAGACCCGCCCACTCCGTGTTGTTTTCGTCAAAATGAGCTGCTCCACCTCAGTCAGCATAATAAATGCGACTTTACTACACCACATGTACAAGTATGTTGTCCAAATGTCTCTACACAAGTCTACTGCTATAGAATACAACTTTATCACCACCACAGGAACAATGAAAATCAGTTAGATGTCTCACATTTTGCAGCGTTCGGGTAAAAAAAAAAGTTTCAAGCTAAGGTTAGGGTTTCAAATTAGGGTTTTAAATTTGGGATATAGCTTCAAAACAGGCTTTGAAATAAGGGTTAGGGCTTTAAATCACGATTTTAAATTAGGGTTAGGGTTTCAAATTAGGGTTTGAAACTAGGGTTAGGGCTTTAAACTAGGGTTAGGTTTCAAACAAGGGAGGGAGTTTCGAATGAGGGTTTAAAATTAGGGTTTTAAATGAGGGTTGAGTTTTTACAAACTGGGCTTTAAAACTAGGGTTCGGGTTGTAAACTCAGGGTTTTAAATTTACTGACGGCACATCAGCGGGTAGTACTTTTTGAGGCACCAATTAGGTCCATCTTGGCCAGTTACAAGAGGGTGTGCACACAACATTATTTTAGTTTAATTTGAATTCCCCACTCGAAATGGGTCACATCTATGCTGTAAACATTTTTTATTCGTATTTCTTTACATTCCAAAAATATGGCATGTGAACTGGGGGGGTGTGTTCTTTTCCTACTCACCACTGTAGCAAAGCGGAAACGGGTGGTCCCTCTGCCGATTCAAACCATGTTCTTTCTGCGGTTGCGACAGCACTTTCAGTTAGTTCATCTCCGAGCATCTTTCTAAAGCGCTGTTGAAATATTTCTGACCTCAAAAGCAATTTCCTGTGTTAGTCGCACACAAATCAAACAGGAAAATTTCCGTTGGAGCTCAAGACTTCCTCCTGAAAGGAACAAAGCAAATTATTTGTGACATTTTCTGTGTAGACAATTTGAACGCAACAAGCCTCTGGTTATTTCTGTAAATTACGACAAATAAAGGATATCTTATTAGAATTTAGAGGTAGATTTTTTTGCAGTACTCTTTGCTTCGTTCCTTTTTTTTTTTTGGGGGCGGGTGGAGCTAATAAAGACTCTTTCAGTTCCCCCGTAGAAGTTGAGAGCTTCGCACGCACACACATTTAGCGACGGCGCTGATGGACCGCGAGTGGTTGAATTTAAAGACGTACTCAGCTCAAGTGTCGCCATCGAGTCCCAAGTTAAGATGAAATGAATGTTCTTTTTTTTTTTTTTTTGGAATGATTAGCCCTTTAAAAAATTGTTCTTGAGACAATTTCGGCAAGACTTATGTTTCTGTGCATCAACAAGGAGAGAAAAAACCCCAAAATGATACACATCACGAAGTTTTTTCTACTTTGTGGTCTGCTTGAAGGTAAGTAATTTGTTATTAAAAGCTTGTCAATTATGATTTTTAAAATTTTTTTTTTATAATTATCTATATAGTTTTTCCATTTCCATTAATGATAAATATATATTTTTTCCGTTTCACTTGCAAATGTTCGTAATAAAAAGTACAGTACTTTGGATAAAATTGTGGTTTTTATTTTTACTATTACATTTTCAAATTAAAAGTTCAATATGGATTCGAATTTTGTACAGCGAGTTGTATTATTTTTATGCTTTCTGAAATTCATTTTAATTACATCTTAACATTTTAAGAGTGCATTAAACCCAAATAATTTTTTTTAATTGATAATTTGTCTTTACTACTTTGAAACATTTTATTCCACTAACTTTCTCTTTTAGGAAAATGTCAAATCAAAAGCACGATATAGATTACAATATTTAGAATGCAATGAAAACTTTAAAAAAAATTAAATACATTTTTAAAATGTATGATGTATATTTATTTTCTCAATTACTTTGATATTTATTCTTATGAAACTTTTTTTTTTTTTTTTTAATGATTATCATTTGAATTTCAGGCAGCCTTTGTCAGGAGTGGGCGACTATGTTGCCGTCATCCGTACAGGGCATGAGTGGCTCGTGCATTCGTATTCCTTGCAGGTTCACGATGCCTCCGGGCTGGGATAGTTTCTTGGACCGCACCTGTGCCGCCATTTGGATGCGAGGCTATTACAGGACACTCATGTTCGACTCCAGACTTACAAGGGAGGAGAGTGCCTTACGGAATGTCCTGCAGGGAAACCTCACCGGGAACTTGCAGGTCAGAATAAATGTTAACAAATATATAATTTAACAATATATATACACACACACTCAAGCCTCCTCTGCTGCGGGGCCATTGTTGAGTGTAGATTTTGTTACCGTGACAACCGGGGGTACTACCGCTGTACTCACTGAGTGTGAGGACAAAAAAAATAAATAAAGGCGAGCACCCGGAAAGAGCGGAAAAAGCATGTTTTCAATACTGGAGGCAGCTTTTCAGCACAGTTATTATACCTGTTAAATTAGTGTAACAACATTTTTAAAAATTTGACTTTCAATTTTGAAAATAAAATACCGGTAATTTTAAAATAAATGCATTTTAGTGGCGGCCCGGTAGTCGAGTGGATATCAAAATGGGTGGATTAAACTGCGTAATTCATTTCTCTTGAACACAATATTAATTAGAATATCTATAATGTTGGTGATGTTATACAGAATACTTCACAAGTGGGTGTTTACTGTATTCATTCGGATTTTTTCACATTTATAGCCTGCAATTGAAGTTTCTTAGACGTCTTTCCATTTTTGTCCCGTCCCTTGTCAGGAAAAGGACTGCAGCACCATCCTTGAGGACATGACAGAGCAGTATGACGACTATTACTTCAGGCTGGAATGTGACAACAGTCTCAAGTTCAACTTTGTCCAGAGCGTCTTGGTGTACATTAAAGGTCGGTTTTAAATTATGGTTTCAAGTCAGAGTGAGGATGTCAAATTTCGGTTTGAAGCCATGGTTAGCGTTTTATGTAAAGCCAACCTGTATTGTGGTTTCAAACTAGCATTACAGTTTCAAATTATGGTGTGAAGTCAGGATTGGTGTTTCAAATTAGGATTTCAAATTAGGGTTGAACGTGACGGTTGGAAACTAATATTGCGGTTTCACATTTTGGTTTCATCTCATGGTTAGTGTTTCAGTTGCGGGGTTCAATTTCAAAGTATGGTTTCAAGCCTGGTTTATTGCTTTATATTATGGTTTCAGGATCATTTTAGGATTTTTAGACTAGGGGTATGGTTTCAAAGTATTGTTTCAAGTCATGGCTGGGGTTTAGCATTTGGGGTTCAAAACCAAGGTTACCCGCCTATTGTTCTCCACACACTTCCCGGCTTGATGACGAATTTTTGTTTTTCTTCTCATATGACGTTCCAGATTCAGCACCCGTGCCCACTATCATCCCAAACGAGGCTGAGGTTCAGGAAGGTACCGCGCTGGTTCTGGAGTGCTGGACGCCGGCTCCTTGCCCGATGTTGCCGCCACTCCTGACGTGGACGCCGCAGCTGGGCGATGTGACAGAGGTGGTGAAAGAAGCGGAAGGGCAGACAGCGGCGAGGGTCATCGCAGTCATGAATTTCAACGCTTCTTACCAACACAACAGACTGGAGGTGACCTGCAGCGCCATCTACAGGAGGCAAGCGGGACGCACTGAGGTGTCCACAAAAAGCTTGTTGAGACTTCAAGTTTTGCGTGAGTAGTTTTTTTTTTTTTTATACCAATAACACAAATTAATATTATTGAAATTATAATTTCAATAACTGTATTAGTTTTCTATTTCATAATACATCTAAAATAATTAAATACAATTTCAAAACCAAACATTCCCTGTTTTGGAATAAGTGGAATTTCTGAGGTGTCTAATAAAAAAGAGCTCTCTCTTTCTCTCTCTCTGTCCCCCCCTCCCTTCCTCCCTCGAACAAGAAAAAAAGAAAAAACTTTTTCAATTTAAAATTTTATTTTGAAATTGAGTTTATTTCATTTTAAAAACATCCATAGTAAATTCAATAACATTTTACGACAAAATTAAATTAACCCTTTCATGCACCTTGTAACCTGATAACATGATAAGCTGTCCACCTTAGTAACCGCTGTCGCTGAAAGGGTTAAAAACAGTCGGATGTATTTTAAAAATTCCAGGAAATTGTAACTTCTATTAAAAAAATAAATAATAAGACAAAAGAATTAAAATATTCAAAAGCAATTGATATTATATTCAAACCAATAGTAACATTGAAATTGTGGAAGTTAAATGATATGTCATTGACTGTGTCTTATTCTATAAACATCTACAAATCATGAAATACAGTATACGAGAAAAAATATGAGCCCATTTATTTTGAAGAGTACTCCCTGCTTTCCTCTCTGGTTGTTAGAAGTGAGTGATCATTTTACTTGAGCCAACTTTACAAAATGTTTGGTCTCGATGTCATTTTGTACTTGAGAAGTACGCGCGTGTGCGGTGACGCGTGCACGTGCAGAAAGTGAATGAGGAAACAGAACCGAAGGGAAGTTGCGTACGGTTTATTACTTCATTAAAAAGTCTCCCTACATCCAAACTGCTCTGGGTGCGCAACAATGTCATTTACTCAATCTTGTACAAAGTACCTGTGAGTGATACTTGGGTAAAAGTGAATATTTTTCAAAATTTTAAAATAATTTTAATTTGTTGTTGTTGTTTATCTTTGGTGGATACTCCCTGATTTTATTTCATTTGGATTATTATTATTTTTAATTAAATCATTTAATATGTTTGCATTCGTTCCCGGATTTTTGCTGTTGGTGGCCCAACACGGTCCGTATCCCCGGTGAAAAGCGGAGGTCAACTGTATACGTTTTATTTCAAAAACATAGTGCAGTAAAAGTGAAAGTTACAGGTGTGTAATGTATATGCATTCATTGTATCGACGTAAAAGTATTCCTGTCGATTCCTTGTGTTCAGATGGTCCTAAGAATACGTCTGTGAGCTACCCAGGCCCCGTGACGGCGGGCATGTCGGTCACACTGACTTGCAACACCATCGCCAACCCTGTAGTGAGGGGCTACTTTTGGTACCTAGTAGGTGGCGATCAGGTGACGCAAGTGGGAAGAAGGAAACGACTCATCATCGATGTGACGGAAGACTCTCCCAGTTTTCAATGTGGGGTGATCAACAGATACGGAGAGCAAAATTCATCCGTCATCACCATTGATGTTCAATGTGAGTCCACTTGAGAGAGAGCGCACACAAAAGGATGATTGGACACCCATGGAAGACGATCTTAGCTTGGTTTGATTTTTCCATGTGTGGAATAATGCTGATGCTAATTGAAGACAACAGGAATTCTCCAACAAGATTTTTTTTTTTTGTCCCCCGTTATACTACTGTAAGTTGAGGGGTTCGTTGTTTTTAGTGGATAGCTCTTCTTTACGAATGACAAAAGGAGAGATGGAATCCTTTAATGCAGTTTATTAAAAGGAGAAAAAAAAACAAAAAACATCTGCACCTCCGAACGGATGAACGAGAACACACCCCCTTTTCAGTCACGAAAGCACTTCCTGCTTCTCTTTAGCCAATCAGACGCAAGCAACATACGAATGTTTCAACAATTATTAAACAGAATATAATTTAGATAACTATAACATAAAAGAATAGAATGCTCAAATACAAAATGAAAATAATTAATAATTTAACATAAGCTGACATTACCATTTCATGAGTAATTTTGTTCAAATTTGTCCTAGTAAAATAATTTATGAAAGAGAGTATCTCAGCTCATGCTAACAACTGGTATGCTAAAAACGCAAGCTGAGTAAAGAAAGCGCTAAAGGCAGAGTGATAAGGCTTTTAAATGGTCAGATTCCCTACTAAATGCTAACAATTGCTATGCTAACCACCGATGTGAAGTTATACGGCGGCGCGCTGGGGCAGCCCGGCTAACCCACAGCAGGCTGGGAGGGTCAATATTCTCCCATCAACGGCTTTTGTGGACTTTGAAATTCAGTTGTAACTCGCTAATTTCCGAATCGATTTTCATGAGGTTTCCTTTTTTTTTTTTTTGGTCAATGTTACAACTTGTGCTATCAATACAGAAAATGATCACTTCAGTTGCCGTAGGCGCACGGCTCAAACGCGGTTCGTCTTATCCAGCGTGTTCACATCTATGAAGCAACATTCAGCGAGATGGCAAACACGAATAGAGAAAGCTCTAAGGCAGCGGTCCCCAACCGCCGGTCCGCGGACCGGTACCGGTCCGCAGGGCATTTGGTACCGGGCCGCACAGAAAGAACTTGCCTTAATTCCGTTTTATTTCGGAATACGAAAGATGTTTTATTTTGAAAAATTACCGGATTCTCCGTTACATCCGTCTGTGTCACGCTTGAC